CCTAGCCCCCTGGGATATATCGGTTGTTGCTTTTGAAAACACGCTCCCCCGGGGCTAAATGGTTAAGAGGGGGAGATGTTTTTTTCGTTCATGAAAAAGACACTATCCCGGGGCCACACGACACCGTAATCAGAGTTCCAAGGGCAAAAAGGGGAGGGGGGGGGCTACGACACTATCCCGAGGCCAAGACCCCGACGATAACGGTAAGTCACGCACGCCGTCGTTGTCTTTGTCCTTCTTGGCCTTCTTGCTTCTTTCCCTCAGGTGATCATCCCCCTGGCCCTCGACGCTCTCTGCGGTGCCGAGTACTACCCTGTTCCTCCCGTCGGAGAGTACGAGACTGTCCTTTGCCTGGCGGAGAGGAAGCTGAATGCGTTCGGGCAAATGCGGAACGGCGGCTTCAGCGAGCCCAAGTACAAGATGTTCCAAAAGGCGTAAGTTCGTGGTGTCATACGCTTGCCGTCGCCCGCACGAGGCCGCACATCTATTTGCATCATATTCTATAGGAAAAAACAGAGGTTGGTTTCCGAGATAATTTACATAAAAAAAAATTGAGAATCAAAGCAATCCTCTGTATCTATAGTCAGTCTTCAATTTCGTGCCTGCGGCGTCATTGTATTTTAGAAACATGGGTGGGGGACGTGCGCTGAAGGTATGATTGGCCAGGAAATACCGGGGGGGGGGACTCCCGCGTTCAGTGTCGGCCGCGAGCATTTTTTTTTTCTATCTTGGGCTAGGCTCCATGTGTTGTTCATTGTTTCTCCACATGATCATCTGTCCAAAAGTGACATTTTCGTTCCGTGCGCGCTCGACCCTTTCTACAGACTGTGGTACGGCCTGTACATACGCCACTGGCGTGCGCCGCTTCGGCCACCCTCTCGCCACTCTGCACAAGGGCCAGTTTCACCACCGTGGCAACATGCTCTACGTCGCGCCGTGGGCAGGTGCGTGCACGCGAGTTGTCCCAACTAACCCCATGTTTTTGAGAATGGTATTCCAGCCCTATATGACGGTCGCCCCGGTGGATCAGTTGGTATCCCCGTAACCATCTAGCAGGCAAGTTCAGGGGTTCGAATCCCAGCGTGTGCGACGTTTCCTCATGAAAGTGAGTTTTTTTTCTCGCACTCGTTTCTAGCCAGTTGATAGCGCCCAGTGCGTGTGTAAACAGTGGAAGGAGGTGGCCGATACTCCTCCCACAGTAGAAACTATCGGCGAAGCACCGCCGGAGGGGGGGTGAGAGGTAGAGGAGCCTTCTGTGTGACCACGGTTCAGAGTTCGAGGCAAGATGTGTGTAGAGAGACGCCGGACACTGGAAATAACAGTGAAGACGAAAAAAAAAAAATGCTGAGCCCTATTCAAACACACACACTTTTCCGTTTTGCATGCCAATTCGATTTACACCACGCCATCAACTTCTTTGTTTTTCTTCATATCTCCGCAGACGATGGCCGCCCAGACCTCATGCCCCGCGACTCCATCGAAGAGGACTCTTCGTCTGAAGACGAGGACAACGGTGTCATCGTCCGGGAGACCCCCTTCCAGCGCGGTGAAGACCTAATCATCGACGAGACCGAGCTACCTACTTTCCTCGACAACATGGACAAATGAAGCCTGGTCGCGCCGACCTAAGTTAGGCGACTTTAATGGCGGAGCCTAACTTGCTAAGAACGTACTTGGGGTGACCCCTCTGGTGATGGTGCACCCGTAGCCTAGCATCCGTAGCCTAGAGGGGTTTGAATTCCCGTTTGTCAGGATCTCCCCGAAGTTGATATCTGGTTTTTGGTTTGTGCCTTTTCGCAGAAACGCGGAGGTGAATCGGCGGGTACGCGGTCGTCGTCTTGGCTGTTTTTTTTCGGTCGTGCTCTTTGTCGTGTTGGTCTGTTTTAATCAAGTGAAGCCAGAGGGCCAGGCACTGAGAGTGAGGCTTGTGCCGCTTGCACACTATCAATGACCTTAGCACGTGCGTGTGATTGACGGCAGATGATGTTTCGTATTTCTCCTGTCACCCACATTCGCTTTTTGCTTGATTGCGTTGTTTTCGGTATGTTTTGTCTGCGGTGGAATTCCCGTAGTTTTTCTTGGTTTTTGTGCCTTTTCGCAGACACGCGGAGGAGGTGAATCGGCGGGTACCCGGTGTCTCGGCTGTTTTTTTCGGTAGTGCTCTTTGTCGTGTTCGTCCGTTTTAATTAAGTGAAGCCAGAGGGTCAGGCATACGCAAGTGTGAGCCTTTTGTGCCGCTTGCACACTATCAATGACCTTTGCACGTGCGTGTGATTGACGGCGGATGGTGTGTCGTATATTACAACGCCCACGTATAGCTATGTGGCTTGATTGCGTTTTTCTCGATATTTTTTTTTTGTCATGGAATTCCCTTAGTTTTTTTTGGTTTGTGTACGGAAAGGGGTGTGAAGATGTTTGGGGTTGTCCAAACGCGTATAACTTCTGTACGTCATGCTTCTACAACCCACATATGGAGCGTTTTAAGTGTGCGATTTGGTGGCGAGAAGAGAGGGATATACGAAGTATGGAGTTGGGCGATTAGTGTGGTACTTTGCACTGCACCTTTGATTTCAGTACGGAAGGGGTGGAAGTCGACGCAGGATCCGCCACGAGGCTTAAAGTTTTCGACAACTGCATCCCACCGACTTTACGCCCTGGCCTTGTGCCGCACCTTGCCGAGGTGGCGCCTTGCCAAGGTGGCACCTTGTGAGCACCCTGCAGCATGGCACATTGCAGGGTACTCCCCAGGGTTACACCCTGTAAGACCCACCTCGCCAGGGGTGCCGAGTTGGCACCTTGTGAGCACCCCGCAGCATGGCACATTGCAGGGTACTCCCCAGGGTCACAACCTGTAAGACCCACCTTGCCAGGGGTGCCGAATGGCTACGGGTGTATGCTTTCGTGCCAAGTTTCGTGCCAATTGGCAACGTATTCAGCGCGTTCTTGTGTTCGCCAGGAAAGTGCAGTCGGCTCGGTAGAGGTTCCGCCGCGTCCATGGGGGCCGGTGAGTTTTCCCATATTTTTTTTGGGCCGATGTGGAAAAGAGGGTTTCGTCCTCAACAGACGTTGGGGAGTTTCAACTTTTATTAAGGTGTTCTCCACATTACCCCCCCTTTTTCGAGACTTCTTCTTGTTTGCTAGGCAAGAGAAGTCTTCTTGGGGTAACCGGAACCCGACCGGCTGGCGGCGAGTAGAACCCCCTTTTTTTCCAACAATCTTCTGTGCGTGTGTGCGGGTGCACCACTTCCGCCACGCATTGCCAAAAGTTTCGAGTTCGATAGACAATGCATCGTTTCTTGGCCCACCCACCGTTTTTCTTTTATGATTCCGGAAGAAAATTAGGTGAGCAGCGGGTTTTGAACCCGTGTCTTTTGCAACCAAAAACAGACACCTCACATCGCTTCGTCGACGCCACTGTGGAAAAGAGGGTTTCGTCCTCAACAGGCGTTGGGGAGTTTCAACTTTTATGAAGGTGTTCTCCACACCGACTTGAGATCTTTCACTGCTGAGTTCTAGCGCTGTAGTGCATGGAATTTCATCCTACTTGGGCCAACCGCTAGCTATTGGAGGCCTCTACAGCCGTGGCGCTTCATCTTGGAGGGTTGGCTCTGCTGTAGGCGTCTACAGCATGGTAGAGTGCGAATTGGACCTTGCGTACGTACCTTTTTTCACACTGCGTGTGGGTGTAGATCTAGTCTTCTAGTCTATGGAAAGATTAATTCCATCTACTGCTAGCGGTTCGTCTGCTGCCGGCTTGAAGCCATGCGGCGAACCGACGTGCCAGTTCAAATCTGCACTGGTGTCACTGGTTCATCAGTGTCCGTGTGGGCGACCCATGCACGCGTCTTGTGGTAAGGGCATCGGAGAGCAAAGCACTTTTTTTTTTGCGAATGTTCGTTGTTTGCCCAGGGTGAATGAAGTCTCGTGAGGTTGAATTTGGCGTTTGTGTTGTGTTGCGCCTCGTGTTGACCTTTTGGGAGGCGCGGTGTCCCCTTTGTCGCTGTGCTTTCCCGACATTTTTGGTCTCTGTGTTTCTGTGTAACCTACATTTTCCTTGTAGTGTCGCTTTTTTACAACATTCGATATTTCTCGGGTGCGGTAGCGAGATCTTGGGCAAGATATTCACGGGGAGGACAACGCCAAAAATATTAAATGAAGCAGATAATTGAGCCCATATCAACACCAGCGCACTACCTTCGTGTACATGTACGATGCGTAGGTCGTAGAACACCATCGCTTTCAGCGTTTTGGTGGTACGGTACGGGGAAATTCAAACGATGGTGTGCAAGAATGTATTGCAGCACAATAGCAGCAGCAGTGGTTGCGACCTTCAAATCACCTTGTGTTGTAGGTTTCAAACAACACCTCTTCTTGTGGTCGCCTTTCTGCTGCGAATGCGCCCCTTTTGACATATGTTTCGCCTTCATTGGCCCCGGGGATGGTGCGTTAGTGGCCCCGGAATTTCAAAGACACTTCCCCACGTTAAAGACACTTTTTTTGGGGGGGAAACGTGGTGTGTCTTTCAAAGCGGGGTCGCCTGTAATTCCTTGCGTACGGATGACAGCTGCGTATGACTGAATATATATTCTGGTGCTTTCACTTCCAGAGACAGTTGTAAGCACTGTGTAATAACTACCTCGAGGGTGCTTGACTATTTCAACACGACGTGGTACGATCATCCCCCTTGCGCGGAGTGAGGGTTTCAACCCGCACAACATGATCTCCTCGATCGATCACCATTCATTACGGTTAGTCCACCGCCAAAAAAAAAGAGGTAAAAAAAAAAAAACGGTATCAAGTATATCGTGGTTGCCGAGTTCACGAAGTGAATGGGCTTGTTTCACAACTTTGTTGCCAAGCGACGAAAAATCAATCCCGATGGCAAACACCGAGGGGGGGCTTGTTTTACAACGTCGTTGCCAAGGGACGAAAACCCCGCCCCGATGATACTTAATGATTTTGCCAACGATGATCAACTCCCTAGTGACCAGACTTTTTCAGCGTCTTCATGTTCCTGTCTGCTTGTGTTGTTGTGGCTCGTCTCATCGATTGCTACTGATTTTGCTTATTTATATTCGAATGTACCTACTTACAGAAGAAGAATGAATAGAGGCCCAGCTTGACCAGCACGGATTCTGGAAGGTCTCAAGAAGAGATCGGAATGATGTGGTGAAGACAACACGCACAAACTCTTCGGAAACCACGCCGCCCACCTGTTACACAATTAGTCAAAGCCCTCACCGATACGACCGGCAGTTTTGCACGTCGTCACCATTCAGCAAGGTTCTTGGCGCTCACTCAGTAGTCCATTTTGTCTGGGTGCGTTTGTTTTGGGTGACTACCCCCATCAACTCCCCCATGTTGCATATGAAGTAGAATGTTGCAAGGTGTCCGGAGGTTTTGTATGCGCGACACTTTCAGACTGACCATCACACGTCGGGTATCGAATACAAATGAATGTTGAACACGGGTAGGAATGGTCGGCACACTGCAGAGTATAGATGTCGCTAAAAACGACGGGATCATCCGAGTTCTCTCTCTGCCGAGCATGGCTTACTTGATGATGGGGAGAAAAGTTGTTAATTCAGCTAGATTGCTACTTATATGGTGTGCCTGTTGTCTAACGCCGAGTCTGTTTGCGTTTCATGCGAACAGCAAGAACGACAAGCCAAGGGTAATACTTAGTAGGGCAGTGGCCAAAATACGGTATACCGTGCTGGAATGTGGCCAAAGCACGGTACAGGGTAGAACGGCATACAAACGAGGCTGAATGGAGCCACGTGATTGGTCGAAATAGGACCGCACCCTCCGGTGGCCAATATATCGGACGGTATACCTTGCAGAGGCCACTCAGCTCGCGAGGCCACCGTGTACGGTAACCACATGTACCGTGTTTTGGCCACCTCTAGCGAGGCTGTTCGCTCAACCGACCGACGCATGTCAGGCCTCTCGCCAACGCCCCGCCGGTGAGGTGGACGCGCAGTGCCCACGCGATCGCANCGCCGCCTGCACCACACCACCTCCTTGGACATACGAGTCTCTGCGTTTGTCTTTCGCGCTCAGCTCATTCTACAGCTAGAGCCGTAGACATTGAGACTATCGCCCATACCGCCTCGCCTCGTTAAAAGCTCATCAAGGTTAGGGCGTGTAAGTATGTCGTGTATCGTGGGTGACATAAACCTGCCAAAAATCGCAAATGCGCGGAAACATACGCACACACATCACGCAACACCCACCGTCCCCTTGTTGGCGTATGTATGGACTAGTAGTCTACACACACATACACGCGGTGCCTACATAACGGATAGTCTACAACATAAGTCTCGATAGGGTCGGCTCGTATGCTGGAGTAGTCTATATGTAGTAGACTATTTCACGAGAAAACGTCCGAACTGCATGGTACTGCCCAACGAAGTACGTAGGGCCAAGGCCATGTAACAACTGCAGTCTACATACTCAAACCTTGAGACAGCGCTTGTAGTACATTTCTGACATTCTCATGCAAGGTGACTCAAGCACGTGGGCCGCACACATCTTGTAGGGTTTCCCACTGCGCTCTTCATATTGATTGAGCTCCCAAGCCTTTGGTGAAGGGGAAGTGGCATTGGTTGTGGTCACGATCAGGACACGCGATTTAAATGGAAGAAAACAAACGAGGATGATAGAACACCCACGTATGATAAGACTAGGCCAAAGACTATGTATGCGCCGGAGTACTAATGGGAATGGTCGCTCTCGCCAGAACCAATCAAACCAAATCGCGAGCGCTGTCGAGGAGGTGGGCTGTAGACTTGCACGTCTCAACGGGGTGAAAAACGACGGACACATTTTCGGATCACACTTTCGGATCGGATCGGATTTCGGATCCCACTCGGATATGATGTGATTGTTGTAGTTGTACTTGTACGGGGTGACGCCCAACATACGCCTGCTGCTGACCGTCGCATCACACCACACCACTTTGCATGAAACCCCCCCCCACCCCCACGGCGCTGAGCCACAGCAGCAGCAGCACCTCTGCAGAACAAGACACACAACATGCACCGCCAAACAAAAGCACTACTCGCGCAAGCGCGAATTTCATCCGTCACACCGCACCACACAACTCCGAAAAATACGCCTCTCCCCCCTTGAGGCTGCGGCGCAGCAGCAGCACCTCTGCAGAACAAGACACACAACCTGCACCGCCAAGCAAAAGCACCACTCGCGCCAGGCGAATTTCATCCGTCGCACCGCACCACTGCCCTACTTAGTATCATGGAGAACACGTGAAAGTCCGCGCTCCAAAATAAATGGAACTTGGCACAAGACGCACGCCGGGCGAAACGATTACGCCAAGAACGTTGTAACATAGCGAGACAGGAGGTTTCGCCATTGTCTCGACAAAAAAACTCTGCTCACCGCTATCCTCGTATTTTCTACTCGTTCTTCAAGGCAAACAAGCCAACTTCCCTCTGGTGACAAAAGTTACCCAATTTGTATGCAAGCTACCGGGCAAATTGTGATACAAAAAAAAACAAACGAGTGATCTAATGCCTGAGCTTCGAAGTGAATTTGAAGAGCTCCACGATCTACGGATAAAATGTGCAGAACAGGGCAAAACTCTCCTCGCACCCGAGTTCATACAGGATCCAACAAACTTAAGGTCAACTCGATCGCCGTGATATTTTTGAAAATCCCTCTCGGTGCCAAAAAAATGAACTACGGTTGCCCCTGTCCCACGCTCGCTCAAAAATAGTTATACACAGCGCCGTTGCAATGGAACGCTTACAACAGACTCGCCAGGCCAACGGCGACCATGCAGCGGGCAACAGGCCAATACAAAAGGACAAATAACGAAATAATATACAGCCTTTTGGACGGCAAAGTCAAGCCAGAAAACCTCGAACAAACTCGAACAAATAATTCTTACAAGTTGTTGACTAGTAAAAAATAGCCCCACAGCACTACAACTCTGGAGGGTACGTGCCATGTTCATGGACCAGGGGGAGCGCCTCGTGAGTGTGAACGCCATCCGCGCCTTCGAGGCTCGCTTCAGGAGCCACTCCCCACCAAAGCCGTTGCTGCGGGTGGCGTTTCCGGTTCAACCGTTCTTTGCGACTCCGACGACACCTCTGTACGCAGAAATTGACGCCGCGATAGGCCGATCGGAGAACTTCGAGGCCTCTGTGTCTCACCGTGGCGAGGCATCGCGAACGCCCGCCAAAGCACGCTACCACACACTAAACAGCCACATGTAGTACAATCACATATCCTACATACATTCAACGGAGCCAAAGGGGCCAAGCATACGCGTCTATCCCTTTTAGTGCTATCTAAAACTCGGCAACTTTCGTGTTCGCCTGGCAAAACTAAACGCAGACACCGTCTCCGTTACAAGCGCGTTGATGTTCCGGCTGACATCGCCGCCTTCTCCGTGTACAAGGTGTAAAACGTTTTTCCACATGTCAATTACATACCAACCAGGTACTCACTGACGAGACGTCAACAAGTCCAATGTAAGCGGGTGATATCTCTAGCGTGGACATTTTATTTTTTCGGGGGCTAATGAACAATGCAATCAAGAGCTCAGGCCCCAACTTGTCCGAGGCTAGACGGCCGTTTTAATGTCATTTCATGAGCCTCTTCCGCTCATCGAACAAAACGTAAGCCGGTCCCGCAGCTCCCGTCGGTACTCGTACTCCCCCTCGCTAGGGGCGGGGACCCCTACGCGCTGGTCGACCAAGGGCGCGCGCACCCGGGTGTCTCAAGAGACAGCGTACGGAGGAGGAGGCTCAAGACTGACGGAATAGCGGTGAGAGGAGCCGGAGGAGTAGATGGAAGAGCGTTGTTGCCGCCCGGCCGCCACGAACACCGTGTTGGCAAGCGTGGGCAGGTTGGCGTTCATGTCGGCGCTCTTCTCGGCGCCGCTGCTGCGCATGATGACCGTGATGATGGGCGTCTGAGCCTTCGCGTCGTCCTCGTCCCAGAAGTCCAGGCGCTCGCCGACAAGGGCCCACTCGTCCTTGCAAAACGTCTCCTGCAGGCCGCCATGCACGACGGCAGATTGGAACACAAAAACGAAAACGGCAGGGGCGATCAGTAAACACGCCCGCGTGCATTGCTTACGTCTCTGTGCCGCAAACCTCGAGGACGAAAAAATACCATCGTTGCAAAGCCGCCAAGTTGGACGAGACCGCACGGCTAGCGGCGCCAATCACTACATTCCCCCGCAAGACCGGGATCTGTCCCACATGGTTGGGCGCCTGCTGCATGACGCTGACGACCTGCTCCTCTCCAGGCCTGAGCGGGTTGACCATGACAAACTCAGTCCCTCCGATGCCGGAATACTCGTCGCTGGACTGCGGGACCGAAAATAACCGCCCAGAAAGAAAAGAAAAAAACAAACGCGAGCGCGGTCGCGGCGGTGCAGTTTCGACGAGAGGAAGAGGAACTGCGAAAAAGCATCGAGCGAGGCCTGTCGGTCCGTTCTCCATTTCGACGAGTGAGAACGAACAAACAAAGGCCAGGCGAGCGCGTCGGTACGTTCTTCGGTCGCAGAACGCCAGCCATGTGAATGGACAACAAGCGCAACGTCACACCGCTTCCTGCCGCCCGCGTTCACCCCCCAGCAGCAACACCCGCACCTTTGCTGTTGACACCAGCGGCATCTCGAGACTACAGCCAAGACAGCAAGCAGCGCCGTACAGTAAAACAAAAGGCAACCGAACAGCTCTTTCGTTCAAGACAGGTAACGTGCTCGTGGTTGTCAGTCACCTCGTGCCGGGGCGACAAACCCCTTTTACCCTCGAACGCCTCTAGAACGAAAAATTAGCACCCTTCTTTTCTTCGCCGATCAGTCTGTCCAACCGCAGTGGCTTACCCTGGCAAGCCTGGTGTATGTGGGGAAAACAAGCCCTCCGGTGTTGCGGATCTTCCACGAGCACGTGAACCACTCTCCGTCATACAGCTCCATGCGAGCGGAATGACACGCCTCGACCTTGCCCTGGAAGGGAACACAGTAGTAAGGCCACCGAAAACGACAGGACGGGCAGGATGTGTCGTAAACAAAAAATAGGGCGCTCCATGGTGTTTGGGGCCCCGCAGGCACGCGCAAGGTTCGCAACATGACCAGAGTCTAGAGGAGGGGCGTCGAGCGGGGTATCTAGCCCGTAGCTCTGCTACAAGTTCAGCCACTGCGGCACGCCATTTTGAGAGTCCGATGAGGTCCAAGAAGGGGCACTTGACGAATTCCGTGGCGGGGTTGTGTTTGAGGCGCAAATAACGTCGTTGCTGCCCACGCGAGTCACTGCGCCCAGGGCACGCGAACTTGTCTTCGGGGAAACGCAGCTATAGCCATGCCATTAAGGCAGCGGGCTCACGGGGCACGCGTCGGCGGCACAAGTCACTCGACACCGACCGACCGACCGACCTTCTAAAAAACACCGGCCGCCTCGTCTCCGAAACCAACCCGACTTGAATGCATCGCAATAAAACCCGTCATCCACATACACACCAATAGCAACAAATAGCGAGCAACGTCGAACACGCCTTCACGTGGCATCCCGCCGCTAATCGGACATACGCCCCCATGGACTGTTCGTGCTAAGCACAACGGGGGAATGGATACAAACGCACCGCAAGGCAGCGACGCCGCCGTGGAGGTGGCTGGGGCGCGCCACCAGCCGCGCCCTGCACTGAAACGGGGACAGGTCGCGCGGGCGCGAAATTCGCCGGCGGGGTGGCTGAAAACGGACGTTGTTGTGGGCAGGCGAGTCGCGGGAGAAACGTGGGGTATTTTTAAGCGTCAGGGATGTTGGGGCGTAAGCACCGACAAAGTTGAGGACGGCTGAAGAAACAAAAAGAAACGCGCGCAAACACACGATCATACTGCGGTTTGGCCTTGCGGCCGCCGAACCATCGTCCCCCCAGCGGCACCATTGCTTCGTGGTCCTGTTGCCGGCCTGTTTCCCCACCACGAGAATCCGCTGCACTCGCGTGGCCTTGACAACGCGAAATTGGTTTCGACCAAGGAGGGGACGTTGCGCCTGCAAGGACAAACAAAACCGCCCCTCCCTCCATCCCCTCAAGGAAAAATTCCAAACCCACGCTACAGCGTCTTATTTCCTCCGTCGGCATATGTGAAAACAACGCAACGCTGCCGACGCACGCCAACAGGATGAACGCGCCAAGGGCTGCTAGGTAGGGAAACATGCAGGTACCAAAGTGCTCAACCCATCTCACTCTCATTCTCACCAGGGAACTCGTTCTTCTGCAGAGCCACCACGCGCAGACTAGGGAGCTCCCACAACGATTTGGGTATTCTCCCTGATTTTCGTTCAACACGGCAAAGGGCGACGACCATCGGCGGGCGGTAGAAGCTTGTCAGTAAAACAGCGGTAACTAACAATAACGAGAAAGTGTGCGCGGCGTCACGGCTCCATTTCGTGCCCCCGCACGAGTTATCGAGGCCTCCCTCCATGCACTCCGCCATACGACCACGAACTGACAAAGGATGTCCTGGTGAATTTCACCAAAGCAAATCGTCCGTTTTCCGGTGTTGGAACGAACGACAAGACATTAACGGCAGCGTGGACGCACAAATCAACAGGGGGGTGGAGGGGGAGTACTTGCCGCCTTTAGCGCCAGAGGCGCACACTCACCGGAGAGCTTGTTTCCGGGGAGAGAGAGCTCCTGCAAGAAACGCAGCTTGCCCAGCTCTGGGGGGAGTCGGCCTGGGACAAAAAAAAAAAAAAGAGCAGGACGGGCCCCCGGCCGGGTATTTTACGGCGAAACGCGGCAGACAAGCTCAAGCAGCAGGCGCATGATGCATGGGACACTACACTAGCACACACCAACAAAACACGTGACCCACCAGGGAGTTACCAAACAACCAAGGTTCCGCGATACGTGACCTCTAGGTACACGTCGCACATACAGCGGCGCCACTCGATCCCAACACAAAATAAACACGCCCGACAACGGACTTCACAACCCAGGGGGGGGGGGCTACGCTCGTGTTCTGCATGCCTTCGCGGCTAGACCATCGACCACGCGCCCTCGAGAGGACGAAGCATTGTTCCCACAGGACCGATCACCGATCGCCAATCGGTCCTTCGCAAACTTGTGGCGGTGGTGGTGGTGGTAGGGGGCGACAAAACGCACCGTCCAAGTCGTTGGCCCCGAGGCAGATCTTGGTGACTCTCCCACCCTCCGTGGTAACGCCGTACAGGGACGACAGCGGGGTCTCGAGCAGGGTGTCCCAGCCCTCGTTGCACGCCCACTTCGGCCCGTTCGTGGACGAGTACAGGGCGTGCAGGGCTTGCTNGGGGGGGGGGGGGGGGGGGGGGGGGGGGGGGGGGGGGGGGGGGGGGGGGGGGCAAGGCGGAGAAGGACCGACGGCTTGTCGTTAGGTTCGACGGCGATGAGGCGTGACGAGCTAAGTTTCGACAGCCTACGAGGCAGAGCGCCGGCATGGTCACAAGAGAACACGAAAAACTCCGCATCCATCGAGAAAACCTTCCTGTCTCTTTCAGGCCTGGCCCCAGAACAACTCCATGCTCCGATGACCCCCAAAAACTACAACGCTGAGACTGGTCGTGACAAAATCAACATTCGTTCCGAGGAGGGCCATCTCGCCGAGGTCCCTCTCGGTGCTTACGTGTCCTGCCAGGCTTTGAGTGACCGCGCGAGGTCCGCGTAGAGAGCCGACTTGCCCATCCCGCTTTGGCAGTACACCGACAGGGCGAGGATGACGATGTCAGGCACGTCTTTCGGCAGGGGGCCCTGCGGGTGGCACACCCGGTGATAACAATCGGACGAGGCGGCGTAACGGAAGGGGACTGTCAGAAGCAGGTTGAAAACTGTAGGCACTCTGAGAGCGGCAATGTGGAAGCAGCGCTGCTATTTAAGCAACAGAGACTCAGCATACCCTGACGCGCGTCGGAAGAACCGTCATAGGTATCGCCACGTGGGCAAAGTCGACAGGGAAGCGACCCTGGGGGGTAAAAAGGGCTGCAGGAATACGGACGCAAGCAAGCTTTGCACACGGCAATACCGCCCCGCAACACCGCTGTCTGCGTCTAACAGCAGCAGCAGCGGGTGTGCACGGCGGCGATACAACCCCAACAGGCGGCGCAACACAGGACCAAAAACACGAGCACGATGTGGCTGGCGGTCGTGCACCTCCGAGGGAGTATACGGCTCGAGCATGTACACGCTGGCCAGGACCTCCAGGACGATGTCGAAAGCCAACACGACGTCCTTGGCCACCCTCTCGCGGAGCTTGCTGTCCTCGCTGCCCCGCGAGGAGAGGTACGACCGGCACAGAGTCTCAAGAGTTCTTTGCTGTAATCGAACAACAAGTGGCGAACGGAAGGCGGGGAGCACGAGACGTAGGGAAGATCCAGCAATACACGGGCGGGGCTGAGGCAAAAGTGACTTCGTGAAGCAAGAGATGGAAGAAACGCCTCTCCGAAGAGCGACCGACCGACCGGGTGCGATAAGAACAGACAGGTTCGCGCGAGCGAGTGGCAGCTGCGCCGTGAAAACGCGTCGTGCAGCCTCGCGCTGCTTGGGCTTGCTTGTCAACACACCGGCGGAAATAATACTTCCTCAACAGGTGTTTGCGGGTAGCCAAGACCTCTGTAGCTGGGACGAAAGCAAATCGCGTACCGTACAACTGCCGTGCTGGGGGACTCCAAGCGAACGCTCATACAACAGGCCAAAGGAAGTGAGGTTTGTGCCGCAGATGGCGCGAGGAAAAGGCAATACAAAAAAGAAAGAATAAACGCTGCAGCGACGACCGGTTCGTCCGCTGCACCGACCAGTGAGCGGCATGGGTGCCGCCACCGTCCTTCCTGAAACCGATATGCCCTTACAAGCTGACGGCCATGAGTCCGAAAACAACTTCCATGCTGCATTTTCTTTCGCGTTTCGCTCCCCTCTTATATATGTAACCTTGAGGGCGTTGGTGATGTAGAGCTGGCACTGCTCTTTGTCCAGAGCCTTGTCGTCCATGCTGGGTTCCAGCCCCTGGCTGTGCTTCGGGCAGTGGAGGTAGGTAATGACGATCCGAATGCGCAGCGCGCTCAGGTTCATCACAAGCGACTGCGGGCAGCAGCACGGGACGAAAAACAGTCACGAGCAGCGCATGTCAGGGTACAAAAACCTACCACCGAGCTGATACACAACGCGTCAGTGAGCGCGCAGATCTCGAGTGGAAAGCAAGCAGCGCCGCAGCTTTGAGCGCTTGGGGCGCACACGCTTTGTTCGTACCCCAGAAAACCGGGGGGCGCAGCTCACCTTTTCGTTTGTGTAGACCTCTCTCGCGGCAGCTTCGGCCTGCTGGAGGGTCTCATAGGCAGTCCGGAAGCGGGGGTTCTGCTGGTACTCGAGCAGCAACTTCATCGAGTGCCTTAGCTTGTCGTACAGCGCCTCGAGAGGCTGTCGAGGGTAAAAGTAGGCGGTACGTGTTCACGAGGGGGGGGGCAGAGGAGAATGTAGAATGTGGTCAGTCTGCCGCGCCGCGCTGACGCGTGCATGCACTGAGAGTGATTTTCGCGAGCTTCGGTGCGGATCAGCAAGATTGAGAAAGGCAGGGAATAACCAAAAACAAGAGAGACACACAGAGGATTTGTCTTCGGGGACTATTTCCGGTTTCCGAGCGGGAGCCGCAACACCATGTTAACAGGCCCAGAGGCGTTTGCTTTCTGTGAGCTCCGGAACCGAAGCAGGCTTTTATAAGTCGGCACCGCCGGCGCGGGGTAAAACTCACAAGGTTGTCGATCTTGTCGCCCACAACCTTGATCTCATCCAGCAGTCGAAGGTTGTCGCGGCTGCTAACGTCTGAGGCGCGGCGAAGCTCCTGCCAAACGCAACGGAGCAAGCAAAGACAACAAAAAAAAAAAAAAGAGGGGGGAACCGGAGGACGCAACCCAGGCTAGCGCTTAACAGAAGCGCTGCTGACCCTCGTATCCGACGCAACTTTTAGTCCACGCAACGACGAAGATAACGCCGACCTGTTGGTGAGATTGTAGACATTCCCGCGATCATTTCCTCCCACATGCGACTGATAGGCAGTCTCGGTTCACGGAGGCCACAGCAGTTGTCACGGCCGTCGCCAACGAGACAGGAAGGTTCCGTTGGATGGGACTTCGGGCCTACGCTCTCGGTTGTTTATTACACACCCGCGAGGGTTACGCAATCTACCGACACCTTACATCATGATACCTGAAAAATAAAAAAATAAGAAACAGACCGCCCAGCTGGTCGTTGATCGCTCCGAGAAAACAACGAGACCTTACCTCGATCCACAGCCGGTCGTCGTGTTGGCGCAAAGCCTCTGCGCTGTGGCCGCGCATGCCGGCCGTGCTGCACCCAGCGGGGTCCCACGGGAGGGGACCCTCGCCGCACACCTCTGGGGTCGCGGTGGCCACAGCGACGGGGACGGCAGCATCGTTGCCAGAGCGGTACGTTGGTACTGCAACAACGTCGGCACGACCGCCGTAGGCTGGATTTGAATGAAATGAACTGGCGCCGGCCCCGAAAGCTGGATTTGCACGAATCGAACTGGGGGCGCTGCCGTATGCTGGATTTGCGTGAACCGAACTGGGGCCGCCGCCGTATGCTGGATTTGCATGAACCGAACTGGGGGCGCCGCCGCCGCCACCATAATATGCTTCCTTAGCAACGGGGCCGCCGTACGCAGGAACTGCACGGAGTACGTCATGAAGGGAGGGGTGGGGTGCAGTGGCGACGCTTGATAATCGAGCCCGGGCAAGCTTTCGGCCCAGCAGCAATAGTGACGCCTAAAAATCTAACAGCAGTGCTATTATGGTGGGATTGACCCGGGTCTTGTGTCTTCAACAGACGGCACACGCACACGCCGTCAATACTGAGGTACTGCAGATGACGCACGCCCCCGCGGGCCCCTCACTCCACGGGCCACAATCCAAGACGCGCGAGCATTCGGCAGTGAAGACGACCCGAACGGCATGTCCAACACAAACACAACACACGTCATACTGTACGTGTCCAAACCATCACCACGCGCAGGAGGACCCTTCCTGACGTGCCACAATCGGGTTCATGGTCTGTAGTGTACTCCCCCCCCGCCCCTGACTCTCGATACAATTCCAAGCTCACCGAAAGAAGCTTGTCCCTCTTCTTTTCCTGTGACCTGCGGGTTGTTGGGGTTCCCCTCACGCTTCCCCTCCCGGTAGGACTTGATCGCCTTGTAGCTCACTTGGCAGATCATGCGCACCGTGAACCACGCAGCTGGAGGAGAGGTGGCGTGGAGCGCAACACACCGCCGCGGCCCGTAGCAGACATGGGAAGACGACAAGGCGAGAGGCGTGGAGCGCAACACACCGCCGCGGCCCGTAGCAGACATGGGAGGACGACAAGGCGAGAGGCACGGACAGAACCCGCGTGTGAGCTCGATACACACGAGCGGCCCGATGGATGCGACAACACCTGCGAAACTACTTGGTTGTAGAACGGTCCCGCGCGATATCTGCTTGCAGGGAACAGGACACCAATTCCTCCCAAAGAGCAGCAGCAGCAGCACGTGCGGCTTCATGGGTTGCATCCGAAAAGACGCAAGACAAAAAGTACATTGGATTGAGGGGGCAGGAGAGGAAAACTACTGAACAGCCGCCGGGAGAACCAAACTGCTGTAACACGTGAACATGTGCATGAGCTTCTTGACGAAACACGCGGCGGTGTGCCTGGTGGCTTATGCTATTAATGCTCATGTCACGCCTGTGGCACGCGGACGGGTATGGGTTTGTGCAACGTCGGCGTCAACACATGGCAGTAGGCCAGCGTCTGTACATCTCATGACAGTGATGTTCTTTTGCGGGAGAATATTTCCGCCCGCAAGCGCGCCTTCCATTCTTGCATCAATAATTTCACGGCGGCCGGTGGTGGTTTCCGTGTTCTATCTGCATGTAGAATAGACGCAATCCATCAGTATTTTCACGTCAATTCTTCTCCTCAGATAGTATGGGATCAAACAGTGGCATCACCTCCCACAGTCGGTGTATCCACTCCTTCCCTTACTTCCAAGACCTGCGCTTGATAACAATCTTCGCAGAGCTAAAACAATCCCGTACTTCACGTTAGAACAAAATTTTATACACTCAATACATTATCTCCCTTCGCTCCTGCTACAGTAACGGCCGACCGCTAAACGCTGCCAGTGACTGGGTTGTTCGCTTCAAGGAAACTCGTTGAGCTCCCGGTATTGCTCCTCCGTCACTCCCCGGACCATACTTGATCGGAGACTGGAGCGACTTCCTCCATCAATCTCATGTACCGCCAGGCCGGCCTCGGGTTCATCCAGTATTCCTTCTGCAAAATATCCGACAAGAGTCTCCTTGAAGGGCGCGAGTTATAGCCCCCCCGGACCTGAACGAATGCAACGAAAACCCCTGTTTCTGCCCGGCTGCTCGCGCGTACTTCTTCAGAGCAGTAGCCATCTTTGGTGCCGTAACGGGCGAAGGAGCCCTCGACGGCATTCCGTCACGCCCTGTGTGGGCGTGGCCATGTTGATGTCGAAGGCACTCATCACGGGTGGATGGTGTTAGGCTTATACCTAATATGCGGGCATTGCTTTCCACATAGAAATGACCTTCGCGTTCAAGAGGAAACGCATAATTTTGCCCCGTGCATCTTTGTTTTTCGGCGCATACTATCGCGCATATATGGGCATACTTTGCATAAGCGTAGTTATGCTCGCTTCATTTTGGAGATAGGGGTGGATCAGCAGTGAGTCAGGCGCCTCCTGTGGCCCCAGCAACTTGAACACAAACTTGAAAAACGCCTTCGCTGTGGGCGACTTTATCCTTAAACACCACCCATGGTGGAACTTAAGTGAAGACAACGGACCGGCGGGGGGGTTTTGGGGTTTTCGGGGTTTAACTTCTTTTTTTTTCCCGCGCCAAGAGCCAAGCGAACAGCAGAACAGCTGAACAGCTGCACCACAGACCGCAGACGACCAGACCACCAACCAAAGACAAATACCACAGCACAGCAGCACGGCACAACTATTATTGGGAAGGCCGGAGGCAGACCGCGATCCACGATATTCGATCTTCACCATGGCAACTGCCGGATCGACTCTTGTGGCAGACGCTGCAAGAAGCTCGGATTCTGGCATGACACAAGGCACAAGAGAAACCTTTGGTATCAAGTTGCGAAAGACATCGCTTTGCTCCAACCGTCCTCTGCCTTCATTGAGCGTTTTTTTTTTTATCCTGCGTGCTTGTATGGATGCAAGGCGGGAGACTAGTTTTAGCGACCGCGTGGCTGCATCCACAGTTCTGAAGTACAACAGAGGCCGGGGAAAATAGAGGCAGGGGAATTGGGCAAATAGGGCGTGCTGGGAGCTGGGGAGTGGTGTAGCCATGATTGTGGCCTCTTGAGTGGTGCATTTCTTGCTCGTGCCAAGGAATCAGAGGAACACAAACCGGTCGCCCCGGTGGTCTAGCGGGTACCCTCGCAGCCTGCTCAGGGCCAGGTCATGGGTTGGAACCCCGGAAGAGTGAGTTTTTTTCTCACTAAAAAATCCTGGTCTCTAGGGTGAAAGCGACGCGCTGCAAAGTTCGTTGTTAGTAAACAATAATCGACATCGTAAGTCGCGAGGGAAGGGATTGCTGTACCCTTCTCGCGATAAAAATACCTCAGGCAGGAACCGCAGGAGGTGGTCCAGCCCCCCCCTCCTATGTGAACCCGGTTGGATCGTCTAGCTAGTAGAAGTGGAGGATAGGGGCCAGAGGGGCCGACGGCAGGGTCCAATGATGGGAGAAAAAAAAACAAAAGAGCACAGAATCAGAATCACCAACGTTGCCGCAAGTGTTCAACTGTATCGGCAAAGACAGGGGCACGTGCGCAACTCGCGCATTGATCCTAAAAATACTGTATATATCGACTCCGTCGGCAAAACAACCGTGTGTGTGAGTTCACGCATAATAACTGAAAAACACATAACTGCGCGCATGATTCGCTCTAATTCGCTGCTGGAAGCAAATGCTCGGCCGAATAAATCCGCAAAAAAAAAAAATTCCGGATGTTAGGAAAAAGACTAAATGGTGTGTGGATATGGTGAAGAGAGAAAAACAAAGGTGTAGTGATAGGCTATCACCGTTCGCCCTGTTGGTCTGTGGTATCCTCGTAATCCGCTCGTCGCAGAGGTCGTGAGTTCGAATCCCCAAAGGATGAAAAAATTACGAAATGTGCGGGTGAAAGCGAAATACACCTAAAAAGCTCTCGTGAGTACCAAACTTCGACGTTAGCACCGTTGACGAGGGAAAGGGACGGCTGGACCCTTCTCGCGATAAAAAAAGAAAACATCACGCACCGCAGGAGGAAGGTGGGGCATAAAAAGCAACAAAAAGAAGAAAAAAGCCCTGGTGTTTACCCCCTCCTGTGTGACCCTGGATGGTTGTAATTGTACGAAAAAATATACTAAAAAGTGTACCAGCAGTACTCTAAATTCGCTGAAGAGTAGTACACGTCTCACCACGAAAAATGGGGGTCCTGCTGTTGTCGCCATAATAACTAGGACGAAAACACACACAACATTGTCAAGCTGCCACCGCAGGCGATCCTGGGACACGACTGGGGTGGGGGTCTCTACCAAGTCGATTCAGCTGCAAAGCCCCAGGGACAGTGGACCGGGGAGTGCTGGCTGACGACTGAACGGTCTCAACAGAGCACTTTGTTTTCCTGCGGCAACAGGGTTGACAACTGAAGAGTGAGATGGCATCTGACTTTCTCAAATATTGTCTCTTGGTTGCGTGACGGAGCTGGGCAAGATTTTATCATTTCCCATTTCCGTTCCTCATGATACAATCCTGGTTGCTCTCGCATGTTTTCCTGTGATGCCGCCAAGCTACATATTGCCCTGCTGCCCAAAAGACGTTCGTTCGTCAGCAAGGCGAAGGAAGATGGACACAGCGAAAACTCGAAAAACATCACCATTTGAAGAAAGCACGCCCGCAATCTGTGCGTTCAACCGGAGACCATCGGAGTCGACCCTTCCATCAAAGTGCCGGGTTTTTGATGATGACACTTCAAGACACCGCACGCAGTCCTCTCAAACTTCGTCTTCAATATCCTGGCTTGAACCCCAGCCCACACAAGCAAAAGCCCAAGAACCACTGGTTGATTACCAGGTCAGCGGCGTACGTACAACACGATAGTGCAGGCCGGCTTTGCACTGCGTACACGCAGGAGGGAAAGCGGCATACGACAGGCCCGACATTCGCAAGGACGGCGAATTCCCGCTTACAGCAGCTTGCCGACTGGAAGAGGCAAAAATCAGAAACGTGGTCACGCACGTGCTTGATTGCAACCAGTAGCTGATTGCAACCACATCACCCAGGACACTGGCGGGCTCGTGCCACACGCCATAAACTAGAACGACAAGCGGGCGTCACGGGGTGTCCAACCCGTGACGGGATCTCCCGGCCGCAGGCGCCGAGAGGAGGCTATTGCGAGACGGCCCCAGTCCGGCGGGCCCGTGAAAGACTGCCTTTCCTTCCCACAACAGACAACGACGCTGCTGACTTCCACGAATGATAGTCGGAGGGGGAGGGGTTCGTGCGATATCGACAAAACGTGTATGTAGATCAATGGGGTGAGACGGCGCGCACCTGCCAATACCACGGCTTCCGCCATGCCGTCGATGAGGTCGTTCGCAAACGAGCCGCCACCCGATGACTCTTTCAAGCAGTCCGTCCACGTCATTCACGCGGGCAAAACGGGAAGTGCAAAGTGAGGGCAGAAGAAGGGAACCAACCGGAAGGGGACAATGGGAACGCGCCGCCCAGCATCAGTACAGCATAGTGGCCTCAGGCACCGAGTTACGTAGCTCTCGTTGCATGAGTAGCGCAACGGCGGTGTGCTGCTTAAACACACCTCCGCATCAACACTGACACACCGCCCACGTCGGTGGTGCCATACCGACCATTCTCTGCTCAATAAGACGTTCGCGCTCCCTTTTAAACATACCTTCTTCGTTGTCGATGCCTGTGACTGCACGTCCTGCTTTGAGCACCGCCCCCTCTGTTGCTTCCTGGGCGACAGCTTTGGAGAGGGACCTAGCTGCCATGGGGTTAACCAACAAGAAGTGTGCGTGAGTGAACTTGCCTGCTGTTGCCCCGTCCGAACCTCGTTTGATGATGATGCTTTGCCTCTTGAGCCCTGATGCTCCAGAGAAAATTCCCAATGTTGCGTAAAGTTCTAGTCTGATGATCGGTTTTTGATTGGTCGACCAGCGCGGGAGATCTTGTTCGTAGATTATGCTACACAACGTGAAGATTCAGTGCGTATTTGAATCTGTGGTTTGTGGAGGCGTGTTGGAATTCGGAAAGCAGGGATGCGGGGAAGTTGAAGAGCATCACGAGGTCAGAAAGTTTATGTGTTCTCGCTGGGCGAGAGGCCAGCCAACGCGTACTTGAGAGAAGAGACTTTATATAGATAGCAGCTCCAAGGAGCAGCAGACACGGGCTATGGGGCATGACCTACAAAAAAAAGGGTTGGACGGCGACTCCCCCGAATGCGGTGGAACCACATGGGCGGGGGATGCCTGGTCGGCGGGAACCCGGCACGGAACCCTCCGGCGTTGTAGGCGGGTGTGGGAAGCGTTCCCCGTTCTCCTTTTTTTTTATTTTGATCGGTCTCCTCGACGCTCTTTCTCGTTTGGTGCGGTATTATAGCTGTCTTTCTTTCTATCATTTTGTTTCTCTTCCGAGTGGTTTTTGTACCCTATTTTTTTCTGTTTCTTCGTGGGGTCGTGTATGCCGGGTTTTGAGACCACGGGCTCCCAATCTTTCTTTTTTAGAGCTAATGTGAGAAACAACAACAACAACAACATGCAATGGTATATGATGTGGAGGACACCTGTCGGGAGTGCAACCAACCATGGGTGCACATACAAAGTGTAGGAAGATATAGCTCCATCGGGGTATCTTGTCACTGGGAGCGTGACAAGAAACGCACCGTCGGAGATTTGTCTCTTCCGAAGTTCATGGCCACTTGCCGAAAGGAGAAGCGGAAAGTCTTCGACTCTCCTCTCCCTCTGCTCTCTCTGGCCAGTCATCTTTCTACCCTCTTCTCCTCGTTACATATCACGAGAGGAAATAGCCTTTCCCTGGCAGTGGGACAATACTGCCAAGGCACCGGCCTCTGTCTCCGACAGTAGCCAGGGTCCATATTGGCGTCGACTAGAACACGGCTCCGCCGTGACTACTGTAGCGAGGAGAGAAGAAAAAAAGAAACGACGAGAAAATGACGAAAAGCTCCTCGCAGCGCAAGAAAGAGCTTCGCGAACAAGTCAAGGAGGCGGCAGCACTGGTAGCTGAAAAGATGCGGCGCTAGCGAACCAGGAGCGGGAGCTCGAGGAGCTGCGGCGGAAGCTCGCCGGTACTGTCCCCCCGTCGCTGTCGACCTCTACCCCACCGGGAAGGGGCACCCCCTCGGAGGGTGTGTCTGTGCAGGGTCCCGCTCGGGGAGATCGCCCCCAACAGGAGCCGATTCCCGAGAAGGCCGCGCCAGCCACCGGCGAGGAGAAAGGTGCTACCCCCGAGGGGACAGAGAACGGGAGCGACGAGGACGACAACGACGGCGACGAAGGGGAATGGGACAACGAGAGCGAACGGCATGTCATGTACGAGTTGCTCGACGGCTTTCGGTCACAGAACGTGTCCGCGGACGATCGGCACGCGCTCAAAACCTCCGCTGGGGGCCAGTTTGCTGACATGCTCTCACGCCACTGGACGGAGAAGTCCACTCCACCCGAGTGGCTGGTGTCCCTCTTCCGCCCCACCGCACCTCCCACCACCACGACTCCGGCTTCTGCAGAGGAAGTGGCTCAGGTGAATACTTCTTCGACAGCACGTAGCAGTATACCAGTTGAGGGAAATCAGAGCAGTGGAGGTAGCACCTCCCCCGACCTAGTTCTCCGTCAACCAATCTTGCCTACTGTCACTCAGAACACACCTGCCCATCCTCGGAACCTAGCCCCTGGTTTAGCATCTACTCCGGATAGCCAGAATAGTGATTACAGGCGTAGCAACCCTGTCGCACCCGAGTCGGCATCTACTCCGGATAGCCAGGACAGCACATACAGGCCTAGCAACCCTGTAGCACTGTCTACACCTCCACTGGCGCATTTTTCTATGCCCACAAGCACCCCTATCTCAACACATACATTGGGACACACCCAGAAATTTTCTTTTCGCCAGAACGACCTTCCGAAAGAAATATCGTTTCGGGGAAACCAGGAGATTCCGATGTTGTTGAGATACTGACCCGATACCGAGCACGTGTGAAACTAGCCTCTGTTGCAGCAGACGACCCGGCCGAATCTGTAGTAGACCAAAGAGCGATTCAATTCCTCCCCTTCGTCATTCGAGGCCAAGCCTATGACACTCTAGTGGAACTGGTTAGTGGTACTCTCGAATGGCGATCGGCACACCGGTTGACCGCACTCCGGAATGCAGGACAAGTTGTCAGGCCACGAGCACCGGCAACTTGGGATGAATACTGTCAAGCTTTCACCTTTCATTTCTCCGCGCCCAACCGCATTGCGATACTAGCTAGAGAAATAGCCGTTCTCAGGCAGGAAGGAGAGACGACAGTGGACGGGTTTGCGCTCAAAGTGACTCAGGCCCGCACACGCCTCCTTGCAGAGGCTGCTCGCTCAGGTCCCTCCCACATTAGCCACTACGAACACGCATGGGACGTTTTCATGACTGCCACATTTGAGAACGGCCTGAAACCTCACATTAGAGTAGAGTGTGTTCGAGAGGACCCCCCAAACTCATTTCAGGACGCAAGACTTCGCGCGAAAAAACACGAGGCAAATAATCTGAGAGGCGTAGCGTCACCCATATCCGACACCGTATCTGCTGTCGCGTACCCTGAACCCCCACAGCTGAAGCAGACTGTGTCCTCAAACACGGCGGTTATCAAAGACCTGCAAGCTGAGGTCACCCGGCTCAAGTCGATGCGGCCGCCGAACAAGAACAGCACAGCGAGTCAGGGTGCCCCGAAAAAGGCGCGCACCGCGGGTAAAGGCAGTTCTTCCTCGGCATCGAAAGAAGAACCGTGCCCCTACCCGGGGTGCAAGTTCAACCACCCCCTTGAACAGTGCGGTTTAAAAAAAAAACACGCTCAAGACAAGGGATGGACTTGGACTAAAGCTTGACGGGGCCCTTCACGGGACTCCTCGCTCGTAGGGAGACAGGTCGATAGCACACCATTAGCTGAAGAAACTCATGTAGCACAGGATGCCCGAGTTGATTTAGCCCCGTATGTGCATGACAGTAGCAAATCGAGGGAATCATTTTTTCCTCGGGTGAGAGGGGGTGATGTGACGTCCGTTCAAGATTTTAGCAGTAATTCTGAGACATCGGTAACAGATTCTGCCCAGGCACCGTTTCATAGTCGGTCAAGTAGCAAAGCAGGGAAAAATAGGAAGAACAAACGCACTCGTGCGCCGACTTCTAAGTTAGCCCCGCAAGCTGAATTTGTACTGACTGGTAGTATGCCATTTAATCATAACACGGAAAGACGTGCCTCTGTTTCAAGTGCAACGAGTGGTGGACCCACTTATGCGGCGTTTCATGCGTCAGCACTGTGTAAATATCCACAACATCCGAATGCGTTAAATTCGTCCTCCAAGAGAGTGCGAATTCCTGCCCGAGTTTGTAATCACGCTGTGTCTGACCTCACTATCGACACAGCAGCTGATGTACCGTGTATATCAGCGTCTATTATTAAATCGCGTCCAGTCCTGGAACGTTTACCTGTGAAACCTGTGCCTCCTGGCGCAATTCAGCTGAATAGTTCAGATGGCTCAGCGTTAGAAATCCTAGGATACATACGTTTTAAGCTCACACTGGGAGATATCACACTACCAGTGGAGGCCCTCGTGTTGCCCAACCTAGGTCCGGATAAGATGTTGCTCGATAATAGCATTATGAATGCCTTTGGTGCCGTCCTTGATTGGTGCGGTGAGCAACTTTCGTTTAAAAATTCAACACGAAAAATTCCGGCAACTCACAGACGTACGAATAGTCAAGTGGACACCAATAATGATGCCCCAGCGCAAATTTCCATAGTGACGCTTGACCCATCGATAGGAGCGGTGCCCGTATATCTCTCTAAGAGATTATGCATCCCCCCCGAAAGTGAAATGGCAGTAGACGTCGTGACAAAACACGCACCACAGGCAAACACGCCTGCGTTGGTCGAGCCACGGATCGTCACTTCCTAAGACATCGAAACGTCTGAAAATATACCCGAAGCGTTCCGTACAATCGTAGTCGCTAGAACGGTATGCAATTGGTCAGCAAAGGACAAGTCCGCTGCAGTACAAGTTGCTAATCCATCCAAACGACACGTTCACATTGCACGCGACACTATTTTGGGGTACATTTCGCCAGTAAAATCGGTTGCCGATAAAACAGTTAGCGCTGTCAATAGCGACCAAACCACATTCCGACACAAGCGAGACGAGTTGAAACGAGCCATGAAAAAAGCGTTCACGAACACTACATTTACTCCTCATCAATGCTCGCAAGTCTTGGATTCATGCACGAAATACCGTAATGTGTTTTCATTATCTCCGAAGGAGCTCGGAAAATGCAGGATAGCCAAGGTAGATTTTCCGCTAGAACCAGGCACTAAACCAGTCGATCGTGCTCCCTATCGTACTAATCCTAGAGCGCAAGAAGTCATTGACAAGTGTGTGGAACAAATGGAAGACGAGGAGATTATTGAACAGAGACCTAGTTCATGGGGATCTGCTGTTACCATCGTAGCAAAAGCTGATGGCACTCCTCGATTCTGCGTTGACTACCGCTCTACTATTAACAAGAGTTTAATTCGAAAATCTTGGCCCATGCCAGATATAGAATCCCATATTGATACCGTTGGAGGTGCAAAATTTATTACTGTCTGCGATATTCAGTCAGCCTACCACCAAATTGAAGTAGACGAAGCAGAACAAGAAAAGACCGCTTTTGCGACACACAAACGGAAATGGGTTTTCGAACGCCTCCCGGTCGGGATTGCGAATGCTCCTTTTCTGTTTGCCCGTATGATGTCTCTGGCATTCTCTCACTTCGGACCACGCAGTGGACTTGTGGTGTATATGGACGACGTTATTTGCTGCAGCTCAAATTGGGAGAGCCATCTAACCTTATTAGAAAGCATACTCCAAGCACTCCAAGCGGCCGGTCTTACCTTGAAACCCTCCAAAGTACAATTGGGACCACAGGAAGTTAAATACCTGGGGCACATACTGTCTGCCAAAGGGATTCGCATTGGGGAAGATCGTATACAATCTATTTTCGACTTGCCTGTACCTAAAACAATCAAAGCACTTCGCTCAGAATTGGGAATGGTAAACTATGTGAGGAAATATAAACCCGACCTTTCTACGGTCATCGCACCGCTAGTCGAACTCACACAAAAAGAGCATGTAAAATCAATCGCAAAACGTTGGAGCCAGGAACATGATGAGGCTTTTGCAGACATCAAACGTTTACTCAGCAAAGCACCTGTGTTATGTTTCCCTGACTTTACCAAAGACTTCGTGGTTCACGTAGATGCTAGTGAAGTTGGTGCAGGAGCATTCCTGGGCCAAAAGAACGGCGACGATGTGAATATTATCACTTTTTTTAGCCAACGATTTAACAAAGCTCAACGTCACTACTCTGCGACGATGAAGGAATGCTACGGTGTGGTCTTGAGTTTACAACACTGGCGACCCTACTTACGGGGCAGACATTTCGAAATTGTCACGGATCACGCGGCATTGAGATATTTGTACACAATGCAAGACACGTCTAATATGCTGACCANAATTCTGTTTCAGAACGAGTACATGCTACCGTGCACGCAATGCTTGCCATGCATAGTTCCATGAACCGCGATAACTGGGCATCACTGCTGCCTTTTGTCCAACTGGCTTACAACACGTCATTTAGCTCCACCATGCACGAAACGCCGTTTTTTCTTTATGTTTGGTCGGAAGCCACGTCTTCCAGTTGACATTATTCTCGGCATCCCTCATGTGGGAACAACAGCAAATACCGAGGAATTCTCTAAAACTACACAGGAAAGTGTACAGGTTGCTTTTGAACTAGCGCGCCGTAACCTATCGGAACGCACACAAAAACAAGCTGCCAAGAACGCTGAACTGCGCCCTATCCCTGTGTTTAATCCTGGTGATCTAGTACTTGTGTACCGCCCATACCAGGATTCGGATGGACCAAATCCGAAAAAATTGTTACCGTGGAGAGGACCTTACGTCATCTGCTCTAAATTATCACCAGTTGTATATAGAGTGAGACGCCAGAACGAAACTCGAGAAGTTTCGGTCCATTTAGCCCACATTACACAATACTACGCCAGGAAAACGTCACCTGCGCCAGACTTTGATAAACTTTCCGAGTTTTTCTCAGGACGCCAGATTCCGTTGCCCGAGCTAGACCATCCCGACGAAGCTCAACCGAAAATTAAATCCTACGTCGTTGACAAAGTGGTCAGCCATAAGAGTGGTAGGGGGCCGAAAACCCCGTACAACTACAAGTATCGTTTGCGTCTTCGAGGATACGGCCCTGAGTCAGACCTTGAAGATATAGCAGACGAAATTCCACAATGTCAAGCGATGATAACTGCCTACCGAATCCGCTGTGGTTTGGACATCGTGCAGTCTGATAAATCTTCGTCTCATGCCCCAATAGAACAGGAAGACCCCAAATCACCCAGTAAAACAGGGAAACGAAAACGAAAACAAGCAACTACTTCTCAAGAACCTTAGTCGGAAATTGGTGACGCAAAGTGGCTCTGAGCCATTGAACAAAACCAGGAAACGACGACGAAGGCGCCTACAGGAGGTTCCATCACCCAATTCGCGTTCTGCTATGACACAGAGTGATGCCCAATTACCCTGCCGTGCTAGCAACCGAAAACGAACTAGGACCAGGAAACTAAACGAGTAATTTATTCTGTCGTTCCTAACAGTTGCCATATCTATCTGTACCGACACTTGGGACATTTTCTACTACTTTAATTTTGTGTTATGTTAACACAGGACCAGTAGCCACGGTGGTGGGTTGTATCCATTGGAAACAGCCTATTTTTTTTTTAAAGTGTTTAGGGAAGCACTCACGAGGAGAGTCGAACTAAACCACCGTTATCCCAAGATCGTATTTTTGATGAATAGATAAGNTCTACTACTTTAATTTTGTGTTATGTTAACACAGGACCAGTAGCCACGGTGGTGGGTTGTATCCATTGGAAACAGCCTATTTTTTTTTTAAAGTGTTTAGGGAAGCACTCACGAGGAGAGTCGAACTAAACCACCGTTATCCCAAGATCGTATTTTTGATGAATAGATAAGCTTGCCAGAGGGTCACCTCATTACAAGCTCATCCCTCATCGAGATCTTATTTTAGATGAATAGATAAGCTTGCCAGAGGGTCACCTCATTACAAGCTCATCCCTCATCGAGATCTTATTTTTGATGAATAGATAAACTTGCCAGAGGGTCACCTCATTACAAGTTCATCCCGCATCAAGATCTTATTTCCCGGTGAATAGATAAACTTGCCAGAGGGTCACCTCATTACAAGTTTATTCCTCACCAAAATCTTATTGTATGATGGATAGACAAACTTGCCAGAGGGTCACCTTATTACAAGTTTATCCCTCATCAACCCCACAGCATAGCATGCTACACGAGCATGATCATGCGAAATATTATTGTACACTTGCTGTCATCATGTTAGCCCAGTACACAAATTGTTTTTTTTCTAGACTCTACTAGTATGGACCACATCTATCACCACTCCGTCTGAGGACTCCGTATTTTTTTAACACGCGTTGTACGATGATCAGGCCGAGTTGATGATGTTGTACCAGGTAGGTTAACTCCGATACATGTGTCTCCATGAGCCACTCATGTCTCTGACCGCCAAAAGCACATCTTTAGCACAGATGGAGTTGTGGCGCATAGAGGGGGCGGTGATGTGGAGGACACCTGTCGGGAGTATAACCAACCATGAGTGCACANCATCTTTAGCACAGATGGAGTTGTGGCGCATAGAGGGGGCGGTGATGTGGAGGACACCTGTCGGGAGTGTAACCAACCATGAGTGCACATACAAAGTGTAGGAAGATATAGCTCCATCGGGGTATCTTGTCACTGGGAGCGTGACAAGAAACGCACCGTCGGAGATTTGTCTCTTCCGAAGTTCATGGCCACTTGCCGAAAGGAGAAGCGGAGAGTGTTCGACTCTCCTCTCCCTCTGCTCTCTCTGGCCAGTCATTCTTTTTACCCTCTTCTCCTCGTTTACATATCACGAGAGGAAATAGCCTCCCCCTGGCAGTGGGATAATACTGCCAAGGCACCGGCCTCTGTCTCCGACAGTAGCCAGGGTCCCTATACCGTATTCATTCACTGTTAAGCCTTGTTCCCCACGTGTGCCCATCTCTCAATACCCATCACTGCACTGTGGCCATCGACGTATAGACTCGTCTACACGACAGCAGTAGTCGTCATGTCATCGCGCCGTTCGTAACGCTTTGTGCCCTCATGTCTCGCACACTGGGAAGGCGACCGAAGAGAAAGAGGACAGCGATGATGCAGGAACACATCGTGAGATGCATCCAGCGCGCAAGAGTAAGTTGAAGCCTCTTGGCTGTTAGGGTCACATTAGTCGCAGCAGTGAATACCTTTGTAGTCTTGTCATCCCTTGTTTGTTCTGCTGTGTGTTACTCCATTCGTTACGAACGATCGGTGTGTCGCCCTGTTCATATTCCGACGTCATTGCCGCGAAGAAAGGTGAACGCTCCAGACCGTCCAAAAGCGAACAGATTGCGTCGGAGTCTAATATTTTCCTTGTTGTGTTTTCGAATGCTGTTGGGTGCAAGGATGCCGAGAGGACTCCGACGAGGAGGAGGATGACGGCGACGTGGAGGATTCGGACGAAGAGGCGGAGCGCGACAAGGATGCAGTCCGTGAGATGCATGAAGCCGCCAGAAGATTCGGTGATATTTCGGTGGGAACGGCTGTGCATATCGTTGCCTGCTCGCAATTCCAGACATGGTATCAGCCAATGCTTCCAGTTGGCGTGAACTCGCATCGTCAGACCAGCATTTGTTGTTTTCTTGAGCCGAATATCACCTTAGCATTGAGGGCCTAGTTGGAACAAACTTTTCGCTCGCATAATTGTTGTGGGTTTGTCCGCGGCCGTCTCCGTGACGATGAGGCAGGATGTCGAAGGGTTTGTGTGTCATTTCCGCACCCGTGTGTGAAGAAGTCAAACTTCCACTCTCCATGTGTACGTTCCAGCGATGATTCGAGGTTTGAGAGAGCGCGTCGTGTGTTTGATTCTGGGAAGGTGGTGTGTTGGAGCAACAAGCACCCTTGGCGCTTAGGTTTAGAGTTAACCTTTCCGATTTTTTTTATTTTACTTTTTCACGGCCATGTAGCTGAGGTACTCTCCCCGTGCCCGCGCTCCTCTCTTCGAACCGCCCCCCATCCCCTCTCGTTAATGCAGGAGTTGTACAAGGTGTACGTGAAAGAGCGTAAGGATTCCGTGGCCGTGGAGCTCTCGTACCCCAGTGAAAGATATCAGATCTCAAGACCGCGCGGGCAAGTCCTGCACGACATCGCCGGGTGGGCGACCAGCAAGGCTTTGACGCATCAAGCAAGACACAATCTTTCCCAGGATTGGGTGCGTGTCGTCCAACACAACACTCGCCGGTCCAGTCGGGAGGCGATGTTTACTAATGTCATGCTGAGAGATTTCGTAGCGGGAGTCGATCACAAGAACGACCTGAAGAACGGTCCAGGACGTCTTTACCCGACGATGGATTGGGTAGAGTTTGTGTATGCCGTGGAGAGGGGCATCTTCCACTTTCTGAAAAAACTTATCTTCCTTGCTGCTGGCCTTGGGGGCTTGCCAGCCCAGATTTTCAAGGTTGTACGCGAGGCGGAGGTCGTGAAAGATATGTGGGGAAACTGCTGTCCACCTGGTCCTCCCGCCATCGACCCTAGTGTATCCCAGGAGATGTTTCTTTTCGAAGTCGGGAAGATCCTTGACGTGCGAGTGGGTGACTACGCGAAGAGTGTAACGGAAAATACTTCCCTCAAGTTCACGAAGGCCGCGCTTGGTTTACGGCAACAGCTAAACGCACAGGTCAACACAAAGGGACGGGCGGGTGGAGGGGCCGGTAGTGGCGGAGCAGAGGGAGGTGTACAGGGGGACGGGGCCGCTGGAGGGGGTAAGGGGGACCTTGCTACGCGCCGAAAGGGGGGGGGATGTCCAGGGCAGAGATTAGGGACAGATGCACTACAAAACAACTTGTGCTCACGAAAGCCGCAGAGATTCCGAAGGGCACTGTAAACTCAAGGAAAGAGGATCTCCTCGATTATCTGGAGACGTTTGTGTGTGGGTTCAGGCAGGAACCGGTTGGAGCGGCAGGCCCCAACGTGACGGGGACTGGGCTAGCCAGAGGAGGATGCGGGGGGCGTGGTTGTGAGAACGCGGGTGAGGGCAACACCTTGACAGGTAGTGGGGAGATGGCCTCTGCCGGTGGTGATTTGATGACGGAAGAAGTTCCTACGCAGGACGGGATGGACCACGACGATTCCTTTCCCGACCGATTGCAATGGATATCTCACTGTCGGTTTTGGAGGGGGCGGGTGTGTCTAGCGGGAGTGGTTCTTGATCAAGTTTCCAAGACAGAAGGTGAAGGTTGGGCTTCGGTGGCGCCGGCTTTCGTTTTCTCATACTGTACTTTAATTTTCAGGGATCATAACTGCCATCTGATTTGTGTGCGTGTCGAACTTGGCGTTCCCTCACGGTTTCCCTCTTCTCACCACAAGGCCCGCCGGTGCGTTACACACCTCAACCGCTCAGAACCATGCTCGCAATATTTGTCTTCTGTGTTTGCTAAGGGCTACAGCTACATAGTAGTCGTCTTCACCGCATTAAGCCCAGAGCGTTGCTGTGGCAAAGCCGGGTTTAATTGCGTTCATTATCATTAACTAATCAACAAGGAAGCGTACAGTATACAACGATCCCATACGTCTTCAACACCGGTAAACCAATTCTGACGAAGGGAATTGATCTGAAGTTGCTGATACCTTTTTACCACCCAGGACATACCATCCAAAAGGCTCTTGTTACTGAAGAATCCGAACGTCGATCCGATACGTGTGCACCCAAAATTGTGGACATGACTATCTACATAGAGAGGATATCGGGGGGG